CGTCCCGAGGAGCGGGGATCGTTTGCCGGCGGCGAGAGAGGGGGGGGGTTCGAACCGGGAGTGACCCCCCCCCGTTTTCGAGGGTGTGGGGGGGGGGGTTCGGACCGGCAGTGACCCCCCCCTTTTCATGATGGACTGGGGGTGGGAGGGGTTCGAACCAGTAGTGGCCCCCCGGTTTTCGAGGGGGGGGGGACGGGTTGGGAACCCCTAGTGACCCCCCCCCCGGTTTTCCGCCAGCAGAGATAGAACACGCTCTTTCCATCATCAGCATCATCGGCATCATCGTCATCCTCATGATACTCATCATACTCATCATACTCATCATCATCATCATCATCATCATCATCATCATCATCATCATCATCATCATCATCATCATCATCATCATCATCATCATCATCATCATCAACATCAACATCATCATCATCAGCATCATCAGCATCATCATCATCATCATCATCATCATCAGCATCAGCATCAGCATCAGCATCAGCATCATCAGCATCATCATCGTCATCCTCATGATACTCATCATACTCATAATACTCATCATCATCATCATCATCATCATCATCATCATCATCATCAGTATCATCATCATCATCAGCATCATCATCAGCATCATCATCATCAGCATCATCATCAGCCTCATCATCATCAGCAGCAGCAGCATCATCATCATCATATGCAACAGCAGCAGCAGCATCTTCACCGTGATCTCGGGCGAGTGGTAATGGGGGGGACCCAAATGAGGGGTGCAGTGGGCCAACTACCTATGATAGAAATACATGAGATTCCACCACCGTGCCTCTGGGCACGGAGCGGGCGTGTCCTCAGGTCCTTTGCCTGATCCCTGGAGTCTCAGTTCTCAGTCCTGAGGGGTGAGTCTTTGAGGGGCCCGGACCCACATTCCCGAAACCAAGAAGGCTCCAAAGGCCCCCAAGACGGGCCAAGAGGGCCCCGACTCGCCGAGAGATCGTTCCAAGACGCCCAAGATGGGCTCAAGATGACCCAGGAGGCCTCCAAGAGGCATCCCAAGAGGGCCCCGAGAGGCAAAAAGCATTGGTGTTCAAAGGATGTTTGAAGGACTTTGGAGTTCTCGCCTTGTCGGCCTTCCGACGCTCCAAGACGGTCCAAGGGGCACCGAAGACCACCCCAAAACGGCCCAAGAGGCCTCCAAGATAGCCCCAAGACGGCCCCCAAGAGCGCCCCGAGGTGGCCCAAGAGGCGCCCAAGACGGCTCAAGAGGGCCCCAAGGCGACCCCAAAAGTGGCCCAAAAGGGGGAACACGAATCGAAAATCCGAGCCTTCCGCGGTGACGGGATGGGCTGAAGGCCATTTGGTACCAAAAGTATACGAGCCGCTTCAAAAGAATGCATGCTTATAGTATCGTCAGAACCGAGTGGGCCCAGGCCTTTCCGCCGTCCATGAACTCTCCTCCTCCTCTTCCTCCTCCGCCTCCTCCTCCTGATCATCATCATCAGCATCATTAGCATCATCAGCAGCAGCATCATCATCAGCAGCATCAGCATCATCCTCGTCATCAGTAATTTCATCATCAGCAGCAGGATCCGCATGATCACCACCATCTTCAACAGCAACAAAATCAAAACAAACCACAGCAGCAACATCATCATCGTCATCACCATCATCTCACCACAACCACCGCCGTCAGCAGAATCATCATCATCAACATTTTTATTATCATCGTCATCATCATCATCATCATCATCAGCAGCATCATCATCATCATCATCATCATCATCATCATCATCATCATCATCATCATCATCATCATCATCAAGATCATCATCATCATCATCATCATCATCATCATCATCATCATCATCATCATCATAATCATCATAATCAGCATCATTATCGTCATCGTCGTCGTCATCATCATCATCATCATCATCATCATCCACATCATCACCAGCATCGTCATATCATCATCATCATCATCATCATCATCACCACCACCACCATCATCATCATCATCATCATCATCATCAGTATCAGCATCATCATCATCAATGTTATCATCATTGTCCTTAGAATCTGAACGATTGCCATAATCAGTAGTATCATCTGCCACCGTGCCGCTGGGCACGGAGTGGTTGTGTCATCAGGTCCCTTGCCCAATCCCGAGGAATGTTTTAGGGGCCTGGACCACAAGTTCTGGTATCTCCTGGGGCTTCCCGCGTGCCCCCTGGACTTTTGGAAGTCGTCCAAGAGGGCCCGAAGATGGGCCAAGGGGGCCACACGAGGCCCCCGAAACGCCCAAGAGAGGCCCCAAGAGGCCCAAAAGAGGCCCCACGAGGCCTTAAAACTGCCTCCAAGAAGGTCTCCCATGAGACCCAAACCAAAATCCAATAGGCTTCCTACTCACAACCCAGGCAACGTGACGTGATGGGCCGAAGAAGGCCAGTTCCTCCTCCTCCTCCTCCTCCTCCTCCTCCTCATCATCATCATCAGCATCGTCAGCATCAGCATCATC